AACCCTATCATGATTACCTGTGTTTGGTGTTTTAAGGAGTCCATGGCTCTTGACAAGCATTTATCATGATGGTCTCTCAGGCGTTGCAAACGTGCCTTCAGTCTGGTGGATTGTTTACTCTGGAGGTGGTTAAACACAAAACAGCTAACATAACATGTCCATACCTGAAGTACACTAGGTTTTATACATCAACAAGTAAGAAATACACACTTAGTGATAATGGGATGGTATTTAAGGTGAAATCAATAGGTCTAATCACATATGTTAGTCACTATAAAGACATGGTGCAAATATGAATACAGTTTTTTTTTTTTAAAAAATCACTTTTGAATATAAGTCATAGTTTAAATTAAGCTGTGCAGTAGTCTGTTCACATGCTTAATATTGCTACATTTATTTATCTTTATTTACTATGATAGTAATTTTATTATTGAATATTTTTAGTACTTCATCGTTTGTGATTAACAGCCATCAAGCCACTGCAGAAGGAAAATGTTTTGGTTTTTTTTGTCTATCAAAAACAATCACAACAAAACTTAAACCACCACCAAATTACTTTCCACGGTTGAATATTTAACTGAGGGAAAAGTCGGTCCGTCTGCTGCTCTGGTACTGTTGCTGTCCCCGCGACCTCACGCTTCGTTTTGCATACCACGACAAAACATTACACTTTAGCCATTTCTTAGCTCGTCACGACAATAATTGCATTATGAACTTGGGTCCTCGACAGCCAATGCTAATCCAGACTCCTGGATTAGCTTCGGCGGGTCTGTCTCGCTGCTCCGACTGCCACCCTCCCCGCCACGACAAAAACTTGACGCTTTGAAAAGAAACGACTCTGTAGCTGCTTAGCTTGTTTCTTGTTGACTTACTTACTTAAGGCCTATAGTTGAACAAAGTTGTTCTAGAAATTTACTCACCATTTAGAGCTAACACTATTGCTAGCTACTCATTAAGCTCATTGATTGCTCATTAAGCGTTCATTTTCAGTCCCACAGACGCCCAAAAATTACGACAGTAACTAATAAAAGTGTCCAAAACAGACATTCATGACTGCATGAATGTTAAGATATCAGATAAAAAGTGTACCGTTTAGGAGAATGTCGTCAAACACCCCATTAAGCTAAGTCACGCAAGCATTAGCAAAGCATGCTAACTACAGAGCAAACTGTCGGCTGCAAAGACTTCACTTTGCCTAATTATTAAGTAAACACTAAAACAGTTTGTTTAATGTACTTACCACATT